CTTGGTGTCCCCGGCCATCCGCAGCAGGGAGGTGCTGACGCCGGTGCCCAGCGCAGGGTTGCTCTCCCTTCCTTCCCCAGCAGCCTGGTGCTGCAGGAGGGGGGGGTCCTGCCTGGGCTGCGGAGTCGTGTTCTGGGGGTCGCTGCAGCGAGATAAGCCAGCGTGGGAAAGGAGAAGAAGGAAAGAAAAGGGAGGGACAGACTGGGAATTCCTGGCCAGGTGCAGTGGCTCATGCCTTTGATCCCAGCACTTTGGGAATCTGAGGCGGGAGGATTGCTTGAGCCCAGGAGTTCAAGACCAGGCTGGGCAACATAACAAGACCTCATCTCTACCAAAAAAAAAAAAATCACACACACGCACACACACACACACACCACGCCAGGTGTGATGGTGGGCATTTGTAGTCACAGCTACTTGGGAGGCTGAGGCAGGAGGATCGTCTGAGCCCAGGAGGTCAAGGCTGTGTGAACCATGACCATGCAACTGCACTCCAGCCTGGGTGACAGAGTGAGACCTTGACTCAAAAAAAAAGAAAAGAGAAGAAAGAAAAGAAAAAGAAAAAAGAAATGCTATGGGGACAAACCGTCTAGCTTGTTTTCAGCTCCTAGAATAGTGTGTGGAACACAGTAGGTGCTCAGTCAATGTTTGTTGAATGAACGAAGGAAGGTACAAGCACCTGCTGAACCTACTGGGTACCATGGGCCAAGCTGGTCTCTGTCCTCTAGGAGCCTCCTCGTGCCCATTGCACCCATTGTGATTCATCCAAGGACACATGCCCAGGAGACTCAGTCCGGTTTCTGCTGCCAGAAGAGCTGACCTTGGGTGTGGGGCAGTGTGGGCACTCCTGGGCGAGGTCCTTGCTGGCCACCCCTCATTCTCACAATAACAGCAATTTGCCAGCCAGCCCTTTCATCAAGGAGCCCCAAGGGCCAGCTCTTACTCTCATTAGGATGAGGACAACAGCCAACAGGGCTATTATCCCCAATGTGCTGTTTTCATCTGAAGGGGGGGTGGGAGGGGCTGCTGGTAAAGCCTGGGGTGGAGGTCAAGACCCTGGGGCACTTGAACTTGGGCTCTGTAAAGGGTATGCAGTGCATGGCCAAGGCCTGAGGAGGGGGCTGATCCACTGCTGCTGAGACGCTCCAGTCCTGTCCTGTTTCCAGCAGCCCCCAATCTTGCCTGGGAGACGGTGAGGGAGCCAGGGGGTGACCGAGGGCTCCCCTACACCCACCACCACCTCACTTTGGCCTGGGCCCTGGGTCACCCACCCTGTAGAGTGACTTTAGAGCTGGCTCAGTCCCCTGGGATCCATGAAGCCGCCTCCTCCTTTCTGGACAGAGAACCACTAATTGCAGCTTCTCGGCTGATCCTATCAGCCATCCTGGAGGAGATTCTGCAGGCTCAGAGCTGAGATCCTGGTGGGGCAGGCAGGGCCACAGTGCTGGGGGCAGTTGTCATGGCGCCAGGCAGACGTGCTGCCGATGCCACATGCAGGGGGAAACTGAGTCCCACACAGGGCAGGGATAGACCCAAGGTCAAACATAGAGCATTATAGGGCATAAACAGAACTGGATCCCAGACCTGAGAGATGAGAGCAGCTCAAGGTGACAGGCCTCTCCTCAACGTCTTTCCAAGGGCAATAGCAATAAACACTACTTACTTAGTTGTGCATCACTTTACAACTTCTGAAGCCCATCTCTATGGTTCTTTTTGTTTTTTTGAGTGGGAGTCTCACTCCATCGCCCAGGCTGGAGTGCCATGGCACACTCACAGCCTCCCCAGCGTCAACCTGCTGGGCTCCAGTGATCCTTCCGCCTCAGCCTTCCAAGTAGACGGAACTACAGGCGTGCACTACCACTGATTTTTTATTTATCATAGAGACGAGGTCTCGCCAAGTTGCCCCGGCGGGTTTCGAACCCATCGGCTCAGGCAATCCACTCACCTTGGCCTCCCAAAGTGCTGGGATGACAGGCTGAGCCACCGAGCCCGGCCCATTTCTATGGTTCTGCAGTCTGGTGTCAAAAGTCACCAGGGCTGCTGCAGAGCCAGGGAAACGACATCCCAGAGAAGCAGGACTAGGACTTAGGTCCCCTGACCCTGTGGTCCCAGATGGGCCACCAGGAAAGCTGGGTGGCTTTATGTAGATGCCAGCAACCCAGGGATGCAGGAGCGTGTGCCCCAGGAGGCCCATGGGGGGCGCCGTCCCCGACCTGATTGGAGGCAGCGGCCAAGTTCAAGGCCGAGACCCGTCTGCAGGCTTCCGAGGGCGCCCCCACTAACCACTTCCTCGCCTCGCAGCCGCCGGGGGCCGGCTTCGCCCAGGCCCAGTTTGACTTCTCGGCCCAGGACCCCTCACAGCTCAGCTTCCGCCGCGGTGACATCATCGAGGTCCTGGAGCGCCCGGACCCCCACTGGTGGCGGGGCCGGTCCTGCGGGCGCGTGGGCTTCTTCCCGCGGAGCTACGTGCAGCCCGTGCACCTGTGACCCGCCCCAGGTGGGATCCCGCCCCAGGTGGTGTCCCTTCCGCGGGAACCGGGGTCCAGGGCGAGGAGGTGGACGCCCCCACCCGGCCGCACGGGGCGCAGCGCACGGCCTGGGACCGAACTCGGGCTCCTCGTGCCCCGGGCTATTGCGCACACGTGGGGCCGGCCCTGGCGCCGCAGAACTGCAGACTGCCTTGAGTGCCCACGCCGCGAGGGGAGCTTCCGGGCCCCCCGGCTGCTTCCCATTGGCCGCCAGCTGCGTGGCCTCTCCGGCGGGTCTGCAGGGGCCCCACCCACCTGTCGACGGCCCCTTCCTCCCGGAGGGCTGAGGTCTCCCAGGCTCCGCCCTCGGGGACTCGACCCGAGGAACCCTGGGCTTGGGGGGTGGGTTCTGCAGGCCAGAAGGGAAGCTGGGGCCAGAACTGGGTTTTAGAGATCCGGCAGGATCCAGAATGGAGCACAGGCGGCCTCGGGAGAGGCACAGCCCCCACCAGAGGACTTGGGGCTCGGGCCAGCCTGCCCCTCCTTCCGAAGGCCCAGGCTGTTGGGGAAGCGGCTCAGCCCCGGGGTTCCGTCTGCACACCTGCTGGACTTGCCGGACGGACTCCAGGTGGACACCCATGCCTCCGCAGCCCCATGACTTCAGGCTGCACCTGCGACATCCAGCACCTCCGCCCCCACCACAGACGCTTTGGAGAGGGGCTGGAAGCCCCGAGACCCTGAGGACAGGGTGGGCAGCGGGGAAAGTGGAGGCGGTAGCTCCTCTCCTGTTGGACAGATGCACAATGAGGCGAGCCCTGGGCCCAGCCGCCTGGGAGACCCCAGGAGATCCAGAATGGGGCGAGCACCCTCGGTAGGGACACAGCCTGTACCAGAAAAGAGGAGAGGCCACTTAGACGGAATGTGCGAACAGCAGCGGATACGGAGCAGTGTGCCTGGGCACCTCTGGGAGCCGGGAAAGTGCGGTGGGACTTGCAAAGGCTTTGAACGCCAGGCTGATGGTGGGCACGGAGAGAGGGAGAGGAGGCTCCCTCTGGCATTTGGGAGCAGGTGTGAGGGCAGGAGGAGCCCCTGGCGGTGGCTTCAGGCTCTTGGGGGTGGCCCCATGCCATGGGCTTGGGGAGCTGTCCCTGCACCCAGAGCTGGCCCAAGACCCTTAGAGCCCTGAGCTCTGGTAAATCACACGGCTCCTGACCTGGGTCTGTGTACTCAAAACAAAAAGCAGTAAAACCAGTATAAGGAAATCCACCTGAAATCGAATTTTCTCTCCAGGGATGACTACTTTGGTGCTATTTTGGAAATATCACATTCTTTTTTCCCATGTCCCCCTAGTTTTTCAGGGCTCCTGCTTTGCTGGCTCAGCCAGTCCCTCGTCACTGACCCGCTGTGTACGTGAGAAGGGTGTCCCCATTAGGGAAAGGGGGTAGGCCAGAGGGCTTGGGGCTCCCCCGCTTTCCCGTCCAGGGTGGCAGCATCAGGCAAAGTAGGCGTAGAAGAAGATGTTGACACACATGAGGAGGATGGCGTTGAAGCCACAGACACGGGCCCAGAAAGCGTGTCTCTGGGGTGTTCGGCCATCACCTGGAGGAGATGAAGAGGGAGAGGGACCGCTGAGGGACACCAGGCCACACCCGGCACTCCTGCCTCCAGCCCCAGCCTCAGGGTGGGGAGCACAGGGGAGCATCTAGGGCTGCCCACTGACCTGCTTTGGCTCCCAAGAACAGGTCCTGAGCCAGGGTCCACCAGGTAAGGTTCTCAATCTGCAGGGAATGAGCGGGGGTGGGGAAAGTGTGGGCCAGGGGGGTGGGCCCAGACAGGATCAAGAGCCAGCGATGGAGAGGTGGCAGGTGAGTTCAAAAGGGACAGGGGTCAGGGCCAGCCAGGGTTAGGGGGTCAAGGGCTAGGAAATTCTTGAGTCAGAGAAGGTCAGGGATGGGGATGGAACCAGAACGAGAAACTGTTTGGGGTCAGGGTCAGGATTCAGGGCAGGCTCACCTGTGCGCCCTGGGAGGCTGGGGTCAGCAGGCTCCCGGCCACCACCACGGCACCACTGAGTGCAAAGAGGGCCACCGCGAAGTGCAGGTAGTGGATGCTGCCCAGGATGGCCGGCCGCATGTCTGGCTCGCCGCAGGGTGGAGCCGGGTGCAGGAACTCCAGAACCAGTCTTGTGGCCCCCACCACCAGCCCCACCATCAGGCCCCAAAAGGCCCCCTGGGGAGCAAGGAGGCAGGGTGTGTGAGCCGTAGAAGGAAGAACAAGCCCTGCCCCCCCACACACAGGCAGCAGGGGCAGATCTGAACCAGTCACGGGACATCCCCAGGGAGAGGCTGGAAGACCAGCCCCCACAGCACGCGACTCTGCGCCCTGGCCCTGCCGCCCACCTGCTCATTGGCACGCCGCCAAAAGACGCCCAGAACGAAGACTGCGGTCACTGGGGGAGCCAGGGAGCTGGTCACCGACTGCATGTAGATGAAGAGCTGCCCGCTGTTGGAGCCCTGCAGGACAGGGATCCAGGCCACACTCACGCCGATGAGCACCACGACGACCAGCCTGCAGGGGGGCAGGGGGCGGTCGTCATCCAACACACAGCTGCTGCCATCTCTGCCACCCGCCTGGGTTCCAGGGAGTCTCAGAGTGAGGGGGCTGACTTGCTCTCCAACCTGACCCCTGCTGTCCCAGCTCCAGGAGGGCAGGACCCCATCGCTTGGGTTCACGGCTGCATCTTCTGGCATACAGTAGGTGCTCACTCATCATTTAGCGGCAGCATGAGTGACTTGCTGGTGGTTCTTTGAACAGGCTGCCTGGTCCTTGCAGGAGCTGGGACCTCTGGCTGACACATCCCCACCCCCACAGCCCTTTACTGGTGACTCACACCCACCCCAAGGCAACCTCTCTCCCTAGGATGTGAGGTTCCAAGCCAGGCCGAGAATGTTTGGGTCAGAGCCTTCTGAGCCACCATGAGCCTCCTCCCTGCCCACACTGCATCTGGTCCTCCCAACTCCTGCCTGCCTCTCCCTTAGGGAGAGAGCCCCTCCACAGTTTCGTTTGATCATTCAGCAAACCACCTGTGAGGTACCTGCCTGGGCGCAGGGCACTGCGCTAGGAGTCCCGACTGGGGGAGGATGCCTTGTGCCCGCCCGGCATTCGGAGTCCAGCAAAGAAAACAGACAAGCCTGTCACCTGCACCCAGGGCTGGGCTGAGGGGGCTCAGAGGAAACATCAATCTAGGAGGGCTTCCAGGAGGAGGAGGGACTGCCAGAGCCTTGAAGGGGCATGGGACCCAGCTCCGGGGACCAGGCTGGGCAGGGTATCCATCTGCTCCTCCCTGGCTGCAGACCCCTCACCTCAGTCAGCCCCCTCACTCTGAGACTCCCTGGAACCCCAGGCGGGTGGCAGAGATGGCAGCAGCTATGTGTGCAGCTGGGTGGGTACTCCCCTGCCCTTCTCCCTGCCGGTCTCCCCTTCTTCCCTTCTAGGCCTGAGGGAGAGGGTGGAGGAAGGAGGTGGCACCTTGATTAAGGCTAATTAACCCCTAGCCTGACAGGCAGGCGGGCGCTGCCCTCGTCAAAGGCACAGGCGGGCCCCGTGAACACCGGCCTGCTCCGCCCTCCACACTCGGGCAGTCTGCGCCTGGGCCAGGGCTCTGCAGCCGTGCCCACTCCTTACCCTCTTTCGATGTGGCTGCCGCCAGGAACCCCTCAACCCGGAGCCTGTTCCTTCTGTCCGCAATGCCAGCCCCTCCTGCGCCACCACCAGGATGGCCAGTCCCCTCCCGCATCTCCCTGGGCTGTGGCCAGGGTCACAGGGGAGTCCCTCAAGGGGGGCCTGAGATCTCGCTGAGTCCCCCACATCGCCCAGCTCTGCTGAGGGTACCTGGGAAGCCGTGGGCCCCACTGGTGGACTGGACACAGGGAACACAGAGGGGAGAGCAGGGAGGGCAACAGGAGCAGGGGGTGGGGTGTGAGGACCTGGAGAAGCAAAGAGCAGGCCCTGAAGATGAGCCATCACTGTGCCCCAGCCTGGGATGTCTCCCCAGCCTCACGGGGCCCTGAGGGTCACTGGCATGCCCCTGTCCGCAACGGCCTCCTCTCGCGGCCCCCGGGCTCTGTTCTGTTACCCTCTCTCTGCAAACCCCGTCTCTCCTTGACCGAGGCCTGGTCATGCCATTCCACTCCACCCAAGACCCGCACCCCACAGGGCCCGGGAAAGATAGCTCCCTTGGTGGTGTGCTGGATAGGATGAGGCTGACAGGGGTTTGAGTGGCTGGAGGTGTTGAGGGTATCCCAATGCTTCAAGAGGGAGGAGAGGCAGAGCTGATGTCCTGTCCGGCACTGGGCCCTCTCAGTGCTTCTGAACCAGCAGCTGAGAGAGCTGGGGCCCAGAGAGGTTGAGCAACCTGCCTAGCACCACACAGCCTTGTGCCCTGCTGAACTCCAGGCTGGCAGGGCCTGGGGTGAGCAGGGGGGAGAGTGGGGGCTGGACCTGACTTGGCAGAAGAGGTGGGAAGGAGGGTCAAGGGCACAGGGGCCTGGTGCGTGAGCGGCACAGAGGGAAGGCCAGGCCAGAGCTTTGGCTTCAGGTGGGAACAGGGAAGAAGCCTGCTTCTGAGGAGGCTGGGAAGAAGTGAGCAGGACATACGAGGACCACCGGGCAGGTACAGGAGCCAGCAGTATCCCAGAGCAGAGGGCCAAGGCATACGCGGGGTGGCAGGTGGGGCATCCAGATCCTAGAGCCCTAGTGTCCAGGTTGCCAGGTCTAGGGGCTACGATCTCAGGGCCGGATCTAGGATTCCTGGGGTTAGGAGACACCATGGCCAGAGAGGGGCAGGGTCTCCCCCAGGCCTCACAGTAGCCAGCCGAAGAGGGGATGGGAAGCAGGGAGAGGTGGTCGAGGGGCCTGGTGCCTGGGGAACTCCTGCAGAAGCGCCCTGCACGGCGGGCGGCGGGAGCCGGGAGAGGCCGTGAGCCTGTAGATGTGCTCACACCACCCGCCTCTGGCATGTCCCAACAGGGCCCTCTGACAGAAGCCCGGCTGCTTTATATCACCCAGACGACTTCCTGAAGCTCCAGGGGAGACCCCACCCCGAGGACGGGCACCCTGGGCTCCTGCCAGAGGATGCAGTGTCAGCCAGGCTGCATACCAGAAGGCCGGGCCCCTGGGCCAGCAAAGCGGGGACCACGTGGCTCAGAGACAGGAGGGGTGGGGCTGGAGGGACGGGAGAGGGCCTCACAGACATGAACAGACACGCAGACACACCAGTCCTCGGCATCACGACCGCGTTCACCCTACAGGACCCCTGGGTGCCTGGCTGGGCAGGGGGAGGAGCATGGCCCCTGCCAGACCCAGGGCGAGGGGTGTCAGGGAGACCAGTAGGACCTCTGATGGCCACACGTGCTGTGGGAGGAATCTGGCAACAGTCGAGGGGAGAGGGGCTCATTTCTTGGCTGAGGGCGTCAAGGAGGACTCCATGGAGGAGGAGACACAGGCAGAGTCTAGAAAGGTGGGGGTGAGTCATCGAGGTGAATAAGGAGGGGACAGTCAGGGCCAGGACACAATGGGCAGGAGTTTGGTGGGGACCATGGAGGCCGAGGGACTGTTGCAGCTGGAGTGTGGCCCGTCTTGATACCGGCTCAGAGGCCCTCTTTGAGGCAGCTGGGAACTATCAAGAGAGATAGGGGTCAGATCTGGGAGAAACAGAAAGGTCTCCGGGATGGCTGAGGAAGGGAGGCCTGGCCCCCATGGAGGAGACCTGGCTCAGAGTGAGAGGTGCATCCCAAAGGAGGGCTGTGACCATGAGGGGGTGGGCAGGAGAGCATGTGGGAGGTGAGACGGACAGGACACTCTGGCCTCTTCTCTCTCCTCCTTCCTGGCATCCACCTTTCTCCAGCTGGCAAACTCCGACTCATCCCTCAAAACCCGCCTCTGCTGGGGCCTCACAAGCTGGTGACGTGGCTGGGGTCCCGGCACCTGCCAACCGTACCGTCCTACCAGCAGCAGCTCCCGCTCACCAGCGCGGGGCCGCAGCCGCCTCCAGATGTCCATGGTGAAGAGCGTGCTGCTGCTATTAAAGATGGAGGTCAGCGATGACATGAGTGCGGCCATCATTACTGCGATCATCAGTCCTCGAAGACCTGAGGTCGGGGACAGGGGCATGCTGTGGCCCTGCCTGGCCTCCACCGGCCCCGGGAGTCCCTCTTGCCCAGGCCCTACCGCTAAGGAGGTTTGAGGTGAGCCAGCCCCAATAACCGGGACAGGGAGAGGCCAAGGACAGACCACGGGCCTTCTGAACGGGCCATGGAGCCGGCGGCGTGCTGGCGACACCGGCCCTGAGCGCAATTACTCATACTGCTGATGCTGGGACCAGCCCTGTCTTTTCTGCAAGGCTTGGCAATTGACAAAGCACTTTCATACCCATGACTTCATTCGAGGGAAGCTTCATTAACCCGCCTGACAGATGAGGAAATGGGCGCTCAGAGTAGGGGAGAGAGTTGTCCAGGGCCTCACAGCAGGCCAGAGGCAGGACCCTAGGGTGGGGTGGGGGCCACAAGGAAGGTTTGGGGCGGGACTCTGCTTGGAGGTCACACCCCAGTGTGTTCCGGTGGCCCGGTCTCTGGAATTTTCCACCACTTCCTGTGCATGGCAGGATCCAGCAGGCGTGGTGGATCCTCTGTCTCTCTCTGGGTCTGTGGTTCCCCAGAAGGAGACAAAAATCTACCTAAAAATGAGTGAGGGCTCCCTAGGAGGTGGGGGAAGCATTGCTGCACAAAGGCTTCCAGGAGTGGTAGCTCAAGAGGGCCTGAGGGTGGGGGCCCTGAAGAAGGCAGAAGGGTGATCGACTGCCAATGCCATGCCGTATGGCTTCAGGCTGGTCACCCAAGGACTCTGGAAACTTTTCTTTGAGCCGGGCTCGGTGGCTCAGCGTGTAATCCCATGCTTTGGGAGGCCGAGGTGAGTGGTTTGCCTGAGCCCGCGGGTTCGAGACCCGCCTGGGCAACTTGGCGAGACCTCATCTCTACAGTAAATCAAAAA